CCAGTAAGCAGCAGTGATGTAATAAAGGAAAGGTCAGGTGAGGTGTAATATGTTAAGGATGGAGGAGAAATTCACATTTCATTGTGAACTTACCTAATTCACACTTCCCAAGACAAGGCTTGGATCAAAATGTGTCATCCTTCAAAATTCCCACATCTCCAAATTTTGTAATGCCATTCTCTAGCCATATAATGAGTACAAAAATACATATACGAGTGTAAAGGGTGAATATAAAGGCATATACTAATGAAAATGACATACAGAAATGCATTATATTGTGGGGAATTGCTTGCAAAATTGTATATGTTACTGAAAACTGTACGTATTACTCATAATTTTAGTGTATTTTTGGTCTTTGTTGGAAGCCACCCTGAGTGGCTGGGGAAATGCAGCCAGATGGGTGGGGTACAAATAAATTATTATTATTATTATTAGTATTATTAAGAAAAATGCACTTATCAGGAGAAATTCTCACTAATATGCTGATATAGTTACATGAGGATTTTTTTTAAAAAAAGAAGAAGGAAAACACAGCTTGCTGCAGAAATATGGAGAACTGGATTTAAGATTTGGAGTGGGGGGACAAAGAAACAAAATGGACAGATTCTTCTATTCCACATCACCAACTGCATATATATATATATATATATATATATATATATATATATATATATCCCTTTTCCATTTTAGATGCCCAATGTGGTGAAGAGTAACACCATTAATAAAAAAGCTGTACAATAAAATAACATAACAGAAACGCAGAGAGAGAGAGAGAAGGAAAGCATCTGCCAGCTAAAATATAAGACCATAAACCAAAGACTGAAAAAAGCCAACTGAAAAAGCCAAAGACCTGATGAAAGAGGGCAGTCTTTGTATTTCAGCAAAAGGTCATCAGAGACAGGGACAAATGGGTCTTCTCAGAGGAGTTACATAGCCTATGTGAAGCCACTAAGATGTCCCTCTCCTGCTTCCTTTTTTGACGCTCTTCAGCCATATAATTTTATGTGTTTTATAAGATTTATGCCAACTCATAAGGAAAAACACCTCATGGTGGTGTACAATAAAATCACCAAAACACTGTAAGATTACAATATCATAAAATATGAAACAAACAACCAATACTTAATCAAATAAATGCTCTAACAAAAAACACAACTTGGTGAAACAAAAACATTTTCAGCAGGCGATGAAATATCAAAATTGTAGGTCCCTGTATGATCTCAGTAGGAACCAGTGTTCCAAAATACCGGTGCCACTGTGCTAAAAAGTCTTAGCTTACATAGAAACTATGAGGTATAACTGTAGGAGAGTCAGGAGGGCATCTTCAGATGATCTCAATGATCCAGCTGAGGTAGCAGTAAAGGTCCTTCAAGGAACCTGGTTCTAAGCTATTAAGGGCTTTATACACTAATACCTTGACCTTAGCTCAGTAATATACTGGTGGTCAGTGCAGAACATTCAGGGTGATATGCTGACATGGTGCTGCTCTGTCCATATCATAACAGAATCATAGAGTTGGAAGTGACCTCAGAAGTCCTCTAGCCCAATCTACTTCCAATTCAGGAAAATCGCTATTACAACAGAAGATAGGGGGATACAGAGGAGAACCAAATATCTTAAGGCTTGGGCTGGAGAAGACAATCTTCCAGGTAGCCTGGTTCTAAGCTCCCATGATCATATAAAGCTCACAGTAGGCAGACCTTATTCTATTCCGTGTTAGGCAATGGTCTGTGTATGTAGTCTTATGCATACAATCTCACAGCATCGCCTACTCCTAAAAGAGAACAGAATACACAAAGCTATGCTTCTGTACCAGAGCCAAATTTCTCTGCTCAAGAGCCTCTAGATCAGGGCACCAATGTTAATTCAATGATGCTGTTCTAGGAAATACAAAAGAGGACTCGTCATCTCTGACCCTGCATTAAACTCTGTCCCTGTTGCTGTCATTTTACATGTTGCAAAAACTCTGTGGGATTGAATAAATTAGCAAAATGAATTGATGTGAAAACAATCACAGCTTGACAACATATTATTAACTTCAGTCCCTTAGTGGCCCAAATCTTCTAAAAATGCTCATCTAACGTCAGTGGACTGTGTAAATCTCCTCTTTGAATGCAAAACTGAAAGATGGCTTGTGGGTGCCTCTGTGAGATTGAAGGACTGAACAAAGAATGCTGGGACATGGGTGGCCACCCACAAATAAATCTTAAACTGCTTAATATAAATGACATGCTATTTGTGGCTTAGTAATTATCCAAAAATGCCAAAAAAATATGTAAAGATTGACAGTTTTTGCGATGGCTCTGCTTTTATGGGAGGTTATTACTTGTAATCATCTTCAATAATGACTTGTGAAAATAATTGAAGAACAAAATGCAAAATATCATCTCCAAGTCTATTTGAAGGGGCTTGCAAGGATTATTGATTTTGACCTCATACTCAGGATTAATATATGTTATTTAAAAAAGGAAATGAATGCATGCAATTGTATTTCCAACAAGGAAGTTCAACAGTAGGAACAGGAGAGAAATTCAGTTCAGTTCACATTTATGGTGAACCTGCATGTCCCCTCTCCCAGGGGAAAAAATACATTAACCAAGACACAGCTGTCCTTTAAAATTCACACTTTCCCAAATTTTGCAATGCAGTTCTTCAGCCATGAAATGTGTTTTTAAAATGCATATAGTAGGGTATGGCATGTATAAAAATGGCTATATTGGTGAGAAAAATGTGTGTGGGCACCATTTTGGGTTTGCCTCAGATGCCAAAATGTCTTGGGCTACCCCTGGTCACTGATAAAGCTGAGTACAGGGGTGAGTGGGAAGGAACATCGATAATTTCTTTCCAGAGATTTGCAGGCATTCAAAAGCTTTTCAAAAAACAAATTGCTGAGTTGGAAGTCTGGATGATCTTCAGTCTTCCTGGCAAAACAAGTCTGGATGTTACAATGAATTGTTTCCCAATGGCAAGAGCTACCTTGCTTACTTTCCCTTTCTCTTTGCATTAGGTGGTTGTGGTGGATGGAATCATTCTTGCTCAACTCGATGAGGGGAATAGTTCTCAAGATATTCAAAACCAAGGTCTATTTAGAAAGCACTAAGGTTTTTAGAAGTAATTTCTGCCTAGTACATCAGGCTGCCATTTGAAAGGGGTAATTGTGCACAACTCTCTGAGAGTTCATGCTTCCTAATTAAATCAAAGGAAAAGATCTATCAAAGCAGCGACATTCTGTACCCCACCAGGGTGCTGGAAGCTGGTGTAATAAAAAGCAGAATAGAAAATGTTTGTTCAGTTCATAAAGATCTAATATACAGTTGTTTTTTAAAAAGGGGGAGGGACTTAAGCCACTCCCAAATTGGGAACCTGTGGCCCTCCAGATGTTCTTGAACTAGAATCATTCCTGACCATTGCGCTAAGGCTGATGGGAGATCGAGTCCAACCATTGCTGCCATCAATCATACAATCGCTATTTCACTTTGAAACTGTAAGCCACATGTTTCCTTTCTCCCTTCTGCCCTCCCTTTCCTCAGCCCAGAAACCTCTGTAAAAAAATTATCTCCAGGTCATTGGTACCATCTAATCTATCATCTTCCTGAAGTTTAGATATTTCCCTCCTTGTTCACTGGTGGTATCAGCTGGAAACTGTAGAGAACCTTCCTCATTGCTTTGGCTTTTATCCAACCATGACAGCTGGATATTGCAGGAGCCTCCTCCACTGCTGCTGACAGATACTTGTTCATCCTTTTCTTGTAAATGTCTAGGGAAGAAGAGCATTCCCCAGGCAGCCAATCCACAGCTTAACTGCTCTTCTAATTAGGGCATTTGTTTCTCTCGTGTTTAACCTAATTGGCTCATCTTGTGGTTTGAACCTATCATTAACAGGTTCACCCTCAATGAGTAGTTTCCCATTTCTACCTTTTAATATCTATGGGGAGGGAGAGAACCAGTCACGACCCCCGACCACCTTGGTTTTCTGCAGTGCCTCAAAATAAATCTCATTTGCTTCACACAGCTGGTTTTCTAGACTATTTTGCATCCCCGTTGTAGCTCTCCTCAGAATCTTTTCACACGTGTTGACATCCCCTCCGTCCTTCTCAATGTGTTTTGTAGGAAAGGTATATATTTGAATGATGAGGCGGGCGTGCTGCATGTAAAAGCCCCCTCCTCTTGCCAAGGTGAGAAGGTGAGATACATTCTTTGAAGAATGAATTCATAACTCACACAGCATGTGTATCCATTAAAGGTGTGCTGAAAATCAGCCCGTGAGCCAGTGAGTCAAATGACAAGTGGCAGGTGCTGATACCTGGACCCAGCCCTAAATCCCCAAGAGCTATGCTCCTCAATTTAAATGAGATGTGTGTATGTGTGTGAGTGTGTGAGAGATTAATAATAATAAAAGCCTCTGAGAACTTTACAGCCTGAACCAAGATCAAAGAAACTCCTCTAAGCAGCTCTTCCTTCTTGAGCAAAAGTGATTGAAATTCCCAGCATCTAAGATCATTTTAAGGAAGAAAGTCCCTTGCAGAAAAATTGTTCATCCATTGGAGCAGGACAAGCAGATCTCAGCCTTTCAGCTCCAGGGAGAGCAGATTTTTCATGTCTACTGCAAGTGTTAACTGCACTACAAGCTTAGGCTGCTTCAGCTTTCAAGGCTCTCTCAACGAAGCGACCTTCAGAATTGTGGTTGAAAGCATGGAAGCTGGGGGATCTCAAAAAAGCATGCTCTCCCATATCACAAAACAAGCCTGGATAGCTCAGTTGGTTAGAGCATGGTGCAAGTTTGATCCCCGTATAGGACAGCTGCATATTCCTGGGGGTTGAACTAGATGATTCTCAGCATCCCTTCCAACTCTACAATTCAATGATTCTACAATTCCCAGATATGCATGGGGACAGCTACAATTGTCAGAACAGTTAGAAACCAAATCAGATCATTGCCCCATCTAGCTCAGTAGTAATGTCTACACTGGCAGGCAGTGAGCATCTTTGAAGAAGTTCTTCCTTGCCACCAAGGATTGAACATGGGGCTTTCTGTATACAAGACAAGACAGATGCTCTACCATTGAGCTATAGCCCTTCTCTGTTTGGATGTGAGTTTGATATAGCTACAATATCCATCACCCCATTGATCACCAGGATTGATTTGCCTGCTCTAGCTGGCTAGCTGGGTACTCCCTTCTTCCCTCCCTGCAAAGAGGTCAAGAAAAACCCACTGACTGAAGGATTCCGCTTACTGGGACCGGTAGTACTGCACAGTGAGGATTCTTGAGCTATATCAAAGGGGGAAAGGGAGAAGGGTCCTCACCACTCAAGCACATTTGGGGATCCAGGCTGTTCTATACAACCTGATGTGACATCGCCTGATTTGTCATTAGTCCTTAAAGGTTGAAGGAGAGCAGAGTCATGCCAACATAGAGGACAGCTCAAAACTCTTACTGAATTTAGTCACTGAATGTTACCTCCATGTAAGCGGCCGACTACATGTGGCGCTATTGCCTTTGTCTCAAGCTGAGTTGCGAGCAACATATGACTTGTTAATTAACATTTGACTATGCTAATTAAAAGTTCCACTGTTCCATATTGTGCCCAGGTGCAATGCCCCCTTGCCCTAATAATGCAGTGCAAGGACCCTGATCTCACAGTCTAAGGGCTGAGAGACCAATAACATATTTGATTAAATTAGCTCTTGCTAATTTTCAGAATTACCACCCATTACTGTTCTAACCCATTTCAAAGAATCCTTAGCATAAGAAACTGTGGGATCAAATCCTTGATTCTAAATTGCAAGGAACACTAATGACCTTTTGTTCCCTAGATGTATAGCGTTAAAATAAAAAATCACCTGGCACTCAAAGCTCTTGGCAATGCATTAAAATAATATTCCTTTCATGCTTGAATTGACTCTTACTTGTCAGTCTTTAACAGAGGATAAAGCGAGTTGCATTTGGCAAAGGCAGATAAATATATAGATGCAACTCATCTATATAAATGCTAGCAAGAACAAAATGCTAGCAAGCAAACACATGCATACAGAGTGAACATGTCACAGACATCCATAAGCCTGGCAATCTGGGAATTAATTGCCGTCATAAAAATTAATTGCCATCACTTACTTTGTCAAAAAGAAGAAATCTGACAGGGTGGTAGAGTTTTTTTAAACAAAGTTTTACTTTAAAAGTATGGTTTTAGGAACTAAAGTAAAGAGAATGCACTATTCCTCAATGAAAATGGTTTGTGGCTCAGTGGTGGAGAACATGTTTTGCATATGAAATGTACCATGTTCAATCCTGCGCATCTCCAAGCAAGTTTGGGGAAGATTCCTGTCTGAAATCCTGTCTGAAATCCTGGAGATCCACTGCCAGTCTGTGTAGACAGTGCCAAGCACTTGGCTCTGGCAAGCACAAGGAGGTTTGGATCAGTACAAATACTAAGACATTGGGCTATTATTAGAATCTTGTGTCCTACACAAGATTGAGAGTAAATCCATTGAATTCAACTGTACTTCCAAGCAGATATGTACAGGATCAAGCTGACATTCTATTAAGTCCCCAAGTGATCCATGTTTAGGGTCAGATTCACATCTAGTTATTCAAAACATAGTGATGCATCCCAGAAATGGCTCCATTCAATTGTTTTAGGCCAAAGTGAAGTTATGTTCATTTTAATCTAGACTTTCCCATTCAACGATAACAGTCTCTCCATGTGTATTTTGACTGAAGATTGTAATAGTAGTGAATTTCATGGCACAGATTAATTACCAATGGGACTGGGCTATTTGTGGGCAAACAGATTTTGGCAGAGGAAGGTATTTCATTGATCTAGTAATGCAAGGAGAGGGTTAATTGAATATTATGCTCAGTCTTGGTTACTGGAAGACAGATGTCTCAGCTGAGATTTACTTGAAGTGCTTGGAGTTCAAAGAGAATTACATTAGCGAATGGAAGTCAAGATAATGTGGAAATAGGTACCGTACCATTAATACCAATTATACCATTATTACCCTAGATTTAGGAAGCATTTGAAAAGAACCTGAGAGTCAGTAAGACTGGGAAATAAATTATTAAGAAGGATGCAATTATAGTGCCAGTCAATACTTTTTCTTTTACTACAAAAGAGTGATGTGGATTTGGGGTTCTTTGTAACTTCAAAGGCCAATAGAATTTAAAGTTAAAAAGAGATTCCTAATAACTACATAGTACAAGTGCTTCCAGACAGGATCTTAAAGTCACAAACAGGTTGTTGAGACATATATTTTTTATAACAAATTGGCTTTTTCCCATAAAGGGAGAATTCTAATTAAATTTGTGTGTGTGTGTGTTTTGTGATATGGGCTGGCATTTTGATGTCACAATACCATCATGTAGATGCTGGGTGTGTGTGGAAGTGTATGCATGAGGAGCAGCAATACAACAATAAATGCCCATTTGGAACTAGTCTAGAAGGTTGGAGTGGTAGAACATCCATTGTCTCTAACAGCAATAACAGGACCTGGTGAGATGAACTTAGCCCATGCTAAGGCGCTGGTGAGATAATGTTGATGCAATAGTTAAAAGGCAGAAATAACATTCCCGTCAATGAGAATCTCAGAATCACTCTGTGATCCATTATGAGAGAGACTCAGTCAATCAGATTTCATTCTGAACCCAAACTTCACAGACACTGGCACATTGCTTTTCTTACACCCAGGGCACCGGTGGATTCCAGGAAATAACAGAGAGTAATACAGATGTCTGTGTTCACTTTTATATTTTTTTTACATAATTCAGATGGCTTTCCAGACTACTGAGGTTTTCTCTTCTGCATGATATTTGATGATCAGATGAGAGTCTTGAATAGACCAGGGAAAACACAGGAACTGTGTAACAAAAGTAAAATTTATTCAGGAAAATACACTGTAAAATCAGTTACTTTTTTGCTTTTGTAAGGCCTTTGAACAGGTTGACTGAGCACAGGGTGCAATGTTGTTATAAAGAACTGACAAACCCCCTTCACACATGTATTGCCCAAAGAGGAATCCTTTGTAGAAATGAGCTGTAGGGCTCCACTTCAGCTGCTGCGGTCATGCTGCTTTGCTGGTCTTCGCCCCCCTGATGACCATGTATTAGATATGGGCACCTGCAAATGAAAGCTGACTGGTGTGGACCTCTATGTGCATATTTATTTCCTTTCCAGAAAAAGAAAAAGAAAAAAGAAATATATTGACAACATTAAGGGGTCGGAAAAGAAAGAAAGAAAAGAAAATCGCAACAGTGAACAGCAGAAAACTAACAGTAAAATTTCCTTTAAAAACTAGGGCATAATAGATCATGTATCGGTAGAGTTGCATAGGTTTTTCCCCCATCCCCAAACCCTGAACAATCAGAGTTCCTGAATATAGAAACAGCCTATATCCAGGCTTCCCTCTGAAGATTACTATTCCTAGTGCATGGATCCTGAAAGTGGGGTTAACAATTCCTAGGGGACAAGGTCACAAACTGAAGCTGGCAGCCCTGTTCCAGCTGTAATTCCCTTGTGATGTGCATTTGAAGGGGACTGAAGTTTATTCAGTTTTTAAAAGAAAGGTTAACACTGACTCTCCACTAACAGAGGGAGGCAATCCTTGTGTTTTCTATTTGGCTGGTTCATGAAGATGATGCAAAGACCTGATGGCTGTTTGTTCGATTTGATCCTATGCATATATGATTTGTTTGGAACAGAATAGCATCACATCCCCTGGAATATTTTGGAAAGCCAGTCTCATAGTGTGAATTGTATGAGGAATAAGAAGAAAAATAGACTGGTGGATAACCCTATATAACATATGACTAGCTTTGGTATCACAGATATTGATGCAGCAGTTCTCTTAGGAGAAATCGTATCAAGTTTAAAGATTGGGCAGATCATAATTAAGAATCAGTTTGTGTGCATTTATTAATCAACAACAGCAAGGACTCAAAGACATAATCCCATGCAGATTTATACACCAAGACCATTGCAAAGCTGTCATTCAGCGTTGACTTCCTTCTTTATCTGTTACTGGCACAAAATTGGTCTATAGCAGTGTTTCCCAAACTTAGGTCTCCAGCTGTTTTTTGACTACAATTCCCATCATCCCTAGCTAGCAGGACCAGTGGTCAGGGATGATGGGAACTGTAGTCCCGAAGCAACAGCTGGTAGACTGAAGCACCGGCTGCAGGTCATCCAAAACAGCTGGAGACCCAAGCTTGGGAAACACTGGTCTACAGTGTCGGAACCAAATAACTGATTTGGAACCAAATAACTGAGTTGAAGGGGAAATAGCCATTAGCACTGTTCCACAATGCTTGCACAGGACTTTGCAAACTTAGGTGGCCTACTTAGCACTGTGGGGGTTCTCATTTTTCCATTAGTCCAGGAGTTTGCAGAAGCTCTTGCATAAGCAGAAGAATATTCATGGGTTTAGTTCAGCTTCCTCTTTTATGGGTTTAGTTTAGCTTCTTTTTCTTACAGAATACTCTAGCCAGCATGGGGTGTAAAAACAACAACATCACCAACCAACCTTCCACGAATGGAAAACACTTTTGTGCATGGTGGTGCATATTTGAACCTACCCCAATTTCTCTTATTATTCATGGGATACAGGTTAGAAATAGGGCTGGTAGAGGTTCCTGCCCAATCATAATCTGAGGAGCCATTTTAGCTATAGTGTCAAATTCATAGCTGTCAACTTTCAGATTTGAAAATAAGGGATCAGCAGCCTTGAAAATAAGGGATCAGCAGCATAGCTGTCAACTTTCGGATTTGAAAATAAGGGATCAACAGCCTCACCTGTCCCGGAGACAGTCTACAGGATATCTAACAATCCGGGATAGCAGCGGGAAGCAGTGGGAAACGGCATTGAAATAAGGGAATTTCCCACGCAAAAAAAGGGAAGGTTGACAGCTATCGTCAAATTTGTATTGGCAAGAAATGATGTACATGCAGTGTCTTTCAACATTCATTAGAGCAGCACTGGCATAAGCACCTGCCATCCTTCAGCAACTGCCAGTATCCCGACAGGACCCATCATCAATGGCTGCTCAAAGTCTGTTTGTCCTGCTGCTCTGGGTGGCTTCGTGCAGCCAGCATTTTAATTTCCCACAATGCCCTGACATAGCCTTGCTCCAAAGAATTGTAGCAGCTGGGCCCTGCTGCTTGGAGCAGGTAAGCTTACCAGCACCCACCAAAGGAGAA